ACAGTGCTCCCTGGTGCATGGATGTTTCTCCATCTACTGAGGCTGAGGTTTCCTATGAGCTTCGCCTACTAAAGCGCCACAAGTCACCTGGCCCAGATGAAGTTCCTTCTGCTCTCTTCAAATATGGGGTTCCTGCTCTCCCGCGCGAACTGATATCAGATTTGGACTACTGAAACCACCCCATCCGACTGGGAATTAGTGGATGTCGTACCTGTCTACAAAAATGGAGACCGGACCATTTGCTCCAACCCTCGTGGCCTCCATCCCATTTGTGTCGCATCCAAACGGCTTGCTGCCCTACTCTTACGGTGGCTCAATTGCGTACGGGAACAGCACCTGTGTGAACAGAAAGCTGGATTTCGCCTGGGTCGCAGCTGCGTTGATCACATCTTTATGAGCCGCCAGATACTTGAACATCGTCATATGTTCAGTCGACCAACCATGTTCATATTCTTGGGCATTCGAGCCGCGTTTGACTCTGCTGATAGTGGTTCTTTGGGACTGCTTACTGAGGAGGGAAGTACCTGAGAAGTACATCGGCATTCTCCGTGCCACTGACCATCAAACTTTGGGCCAGATGCGAGTATACGGAGACTTTTCGCCCTCTTTCAGTATCACTAGAGGTGTTAGACAGGGTTGCTCAGCCCGTCGATTCTTGTTCAACTCCGCCAAGGATGATATCCTGGATACTGCCCTGGAAAACTCTGAATCATGTGGCGTTGAACTGCCCCCTGGTGACTGCCTTCAGGACTTGGAGTACGCCGATGACATCGTTGTGATTTGTGAGTCCTCCCAGGGCGCACAGCATGTGCTGCTCAGACTGGAGATGTCCGCCTACTAAGTTGGGTTGACATTTGCCTCTTCCAAATGTAAGGTCTTGTTACAGAACTCGCCAAGTGCGTCTCCTTCCCCCACCCTTTCATGGCATCCGCTCGAAGTAGTCGACAAATTCATTTACTTTGAGAGTTGTCTTAGTATTGGCAGTTTGACAGATGAGATCTCCCTGCGTGTCTCCAAGGCTAGAGTAGCTTTCCATAACCTTCGTCACCTGTGGCTTCATCGTGACCTCAGCCTAGCTCTCAAGGAACGGGTCTACAATGCTATGGAACGAGTGATTCCGCTGTACGGATGTGAGACTTGACCCGTTTGCAAAAGCGATGCTCAGCGGCTGTCTTTGAGCACCGCTGCCTGCGAAACATAGCTGGTGTTCGATGGTAGCATCAGATCAGTAATGAGGAAGTGCGTCGGCCAGTCTTCAAATCTGACAAACTCCGTCGACCGATTGACAGCGTCATTTCATTGCGGAGGCTTCGCTGGTTTGGGCATGTGCTCGCATGCCTACCTAGCGGCTACGACGTGCCCTATTTGCGAGTGCAGGCGTGGTGTGGGGGCTACGACAAAGCCAGTGTAAAACTTCGATCCATTGTGTTAAGGCGCACACGTTGAAGCTGGCCGCTGTTTGGCGTTCCCGACTCCCGGGTTGGAGACCAAAGAACCCCGAGCACATCTGGTTGCAAACGCTACCGGATATGGCCAAGGACCGTACGCAATGGCGCACAAAACCTATTCTAACAGTCGTTTTTCCCTTTCAAGCAATTTTTGTCTTGTGTTGTAGCGCTCAGCCAATGGTAATGTAATTGGTGGTTTTACATTATACATATATATATATATATATATATATATATATATATGTATATATAATGGTTCGAGTGAGATGCGACCTGAGCTGAAGTATGCCCTTGTGCTCCCACTGTACAAGGGCAGACAGAGCAAGTAATGTTGCATGTATTATCGTGGTATCAATTTGCTGAGTTGTGGGCAAGGTGACTGCTCGAATACTGCTCAACCGCCTCGTTAGCCAGGTTGTGAAACTGAAAGTCGCGGAAGAGCAAGGTGGATTCTGTTCGGGTCGCAGCACTATAGATATGGTGTTTGCGGCTCGTCAGTCACAAAAAAGTGCAGAGAACGACACCAGTCATTGTAATAACATTTTGTTGATTTCACCAAGGCATTTGATACGGTGAACCGCGAGGCATTGTGGCTGGTGGTGGGTAAGTTTGGTTGTCCGAGTACATTTGTAGAATCAATTGAATATCTGCACAGTGGCATGCGGGCGAGGTTTCAGCTGAGTGAAGAAACCTCAGATGACTTTGCAGCTTTCCCTGGTGTGAAGCAAGGATGTGTCCTAGCTCCTGACCTGCTTAATATTTATCTTTATGTAATGATGCATCGTGCTTTCATGCTGCTTGCGCTTACGGTGTTCGTGTGGAATACCGTATAGATGGTGGGTTGCTGAACATCGGCCGCTTCGAGGCGAGAATCCTAGTCTGTGACACAACTATCCGTAGGTTGCTGTTCGCTGACGATTGTGCGTTGTTTGCACACAAAGCGGATGTTGCAGCACATTGCTAGTGCTCTGGCTTCGATAGCGGTCAAATTCGGCCCCACCATCAACACAAGCAAAACTGTCTATCTCTTACAGCCCTCACCCGATGTGCAATCTACAATGGTGTCACAAATCAGCATTGGTGATGTATTAAAAACCACCTCCCGCTTCTGCTAACTTGGGAGTGTGATGTCGACTGAGCAGCAGCTACACAGTGAGCTTCGTATCCGCATCTCTAAGGCAGCGGCGGCATTCGAAAAGCTAAAGTACCGAGTGTGGACCAAGCATAAGCTTGCTGCTGACACGAAGCTAATGATATACAAATCTATGGTGCTGTCCGTTCTTCTATACGGCAATGAAACGTAGACGATGCACCGGCGGGATATGTGATATCTCAAGTGGTTCCATCAGTAGTGTTTACGACGGATTCGGCGCATCGGTTGGTGCGAGAGTTGAGGACATGGAGGTGTTGCGCCGACGTAAAACGTATGAAGTGGACTGCATACTTTTGCTGAGACACCTAAGGTGGCTCCATCATGTGTGACGTATGGATTCGACGCGGATACCGAAGCGACTATTATATGATCACCTGCGTGTGGTAAAGCGGCATGTACGGAAACCGAAGCTTCGTTACCAGGACATCATCAAAATGAGTCTATTAAGTTCTAGTCTTGATTGCAGGTCATGGGAATCGAAGGCGGTTGATCGGCGTGCATGGCGTGATCTGATCACGAAAGCAGTGTCCGAGGTGCAGGAGAAAACCCCCACACATGCGTAGAAGTGGTCAGCGCGGAAGAGGCAAGCGCTGATGGGTTGTACTCCATCGACATCAAGCGCATGGTGTTGTAGCACTTGCAGTCGCGAATGCCTGAGTCAAGCAGGCCGAGTGAACCATGAGCGGGGCCACTCGGGACCACCATAGAAACGATGACCAGTCATGCTGAAAACGTAAAGAGAACCGGCGCAGCGCTAGTAGGTACGCTACATACGAGTCACTAGCCGCGTGCTTTAAAGCTGTCTCTATTTCAGGTGGTGGGTTTGCTATTTTGTCCTAATGCTATTTTTTATCTCGTACTAATGTCTACCTGAACTATCTTCTACTAACTTGCGCACGTCGCTTACGCCAATTTTAGTTAAAGCAAAAAACATTTTTACGTTTGTGGCATTTTCCTTACAATTTGTTGGCAACTGATTTATTTCATATGCTTATTTACTGAAGAGTTACCACTATATCCATATGCATTATTCGATTTATTTTATTTGATATCGTCGTCTGAAGTGAATGGCTGTTGTTTGATATCCCCGGTGTGGCTGCGCTTGATGTGTATGTTGACAAGGTGCCTACGTGTCTAATACCCACTACTTCGTCCAGACTTACTCCATGAGACAGTTGGTCGTTGCTGGAGTGGACGAGGTACAAGTCCTTGTGGCCGTGCTAGGATCGAAGAGTGGTTCCATGCACTCAGTGTGGTGCGGACTATGGTCCAGCCACCGCCTTGCGTGCGCTTGATTCCCTGTCTGTGCTTGCCCAGGAAGGAGTGTAGATCGGCTCCATCGATGAGCCGTGGCTCCCAATCACATGTTTCTCTGTCGTATTCCTTCAGGTTTACACTGGATATGGGGTATATGGAGTTGTGGTTGGTGCAGCGCAAGCCATCCATGGTCCCTCAAGTAGGCGCAGGCGTCCTTTGGTTGGCCATAGAGACAGGCAAATTCGAAACCGGATGCCGCCAACCATACATATGTCAACATATATATATGCAAATACATATATATTCTATGCACTACCGACGGTTTCGAGACCTGATCCCCACGTACTGTATACTTACCCGGAAGGCTGGACCAAACTTGGCTATTTAGCCCGCCCTAGTTGTCTTGGCTTCACAGCCATCCCATAAAGCAAAACAAGCAGCGTTCTGACACGATCATGGCGGAAACTCGGTTGTGGCGTAGAGATACGGAGCGCTGGAATTCGCTTCCAGAATATATCAGCGAACAGACACTTAAGGGTTCTAAACGCAAGTTAAACACACTTGGGTGGCAACATAAAACCTTTCTCTCCTCCCGAGCATAACCGTCTCACTTTGACTGTATACCCTATGCTTATCCTCACTCGGTATTATCCCCCTATTTAAATGACCTTCCCCTTTACCTTCCATTTCTTAAACCAAGTGACCGCACAACAGGGACTACTATTACAGGAAACATAAGCAGTAATTGGTTAACCAGGGTGTGGTTCGGGTGTTTCCTTGTAGATTCACCAAAACATCGGAGCATCTTATCACTTCCTGACTCAACGATCCGCTCAAGTAGACATCACCAGACTTCCTATCGTTTCAGTAGCACCAGAAATTGATAGGCCAACTAGTATTACAATGTGAATGAACTATTTATCTGAACGGGCTACGAAAGCAATTTCATGTGAGTATTCACTGCGGACTTCATACTTAGCGTCAGGCAAATATGTGAAATTTTTCAGGTATCTGACATAAGCCGGTGTGCTGAGTATTTACCTAGGAAAAATACAATCTAGTTAACAAAACTAATAGCTAAGTTAAAATATGAATAAAACTAGATGAGTGCACTAAGTGGGGCGCAAAGTTATGCGGCTTACCTGTCCTCTGGATTCTTAGGAATGCCCAAATCACCGCTCTTCAACCTCCGAGAAATATCTTCAATTTGAAGTTGAACTAAGCAAAAGTAAGCCGTTCAGTGTGTGAACCTACTTATGTAAATCCTCTCTTGCTGTGGCGTCAGGTTGGGAGGCAGCTGTGTCGGCATACCAGGAATGAAAGTGCGATCGGAGTCCGAGGCCGACGACCATCGGCTTTTGCGTTTACGTGGGGTTGATTCTAGCAATAAAAGTGTATTATTGCACAAACCTGGAGATCGTGAATGGCGCGACCACGAGTACGAATCGGAACCGTCGGATATGGCAAGTATTCTTTTGCTCATTGCTAAAGCTATGGCGCGCCCGCTTACCACGAGAAAAGCGAGTGAAGGTAGAATTAGCGCAGTAAAACACAGGTTAAAATGTGGCCATACACAGCATTGTGAACATATAACCATAACTTTTGTAGCATAATTTTGGTCATATCAACTATTTAACTGTGTGATCATGTGTTTATTGGGTTCATTAAGTTTTAGAGAGGACAAGTTCAAGTTCAAGTTCAGTTGGGACCGGAACGATAGGATAATCCCGTGAATGTTCCTTCTTTTGCGCATCGTTGGATGGGGAATTGACAGGTCTGCTTGAGATGTTGAGAAGCCTAAAACAAAGACCGCATCACACCCTGTCCAACCAATTACTGCCCACATTTTCCTGCCCAGCAGTCCCTGCCAGGCCGGTTTATGTGAAGTAAAAGAGTGAAAGGTAAGCTAAGAAAAGAAGAGGAGGAATGTCAGCTGACTAATGATAATGCCAAGGTGATAAGAAAATTAAAAAAGGAACGAAGGGAAGTTTGAAGATACAAGTCGGTTAGGAGAAGGGGAAGGTTTGGTACTGCCGCCCTAGAGCATCTAACTGACGCTCGAAACCCTCTACCGTAGACTCCCTAACCACGTGCGCCGGAAGCGAGTTCCAACGTTCAATAACTCGACGCCACAAGCGAGTTTCCGTCCTTACCCGGTCAGGACGCAGTTTGTGCAGCTTCAACGGGTGACCTCGGAGACTAGGCAGCTTGGCGGGACTAAATAGCCAGGACAAGTCTGGACCGATCTTACCCGTTAAGATACGGTAAGTGAGAATCAAGTCCTCTCTAACTCTGCCGTAGTGCATTGCGTACATACCCAAGCTAAGCAAACTTTCGGGATACGTTTGCAGTCGTAGTCCTTGCACTAACCTTGTACCCACTCGCAAAACCCTCTCCAGTTCCATTTTGTCCCTTACAAGACAAGGTGGACAAACCTGGATACAGTACTCTAAGTGAGGTCGCACAAAAGCTGAGAACAGCTTCACAAAATTATTGGCCGTTAAGACACCGAAGGAGCGGCGAATAAACCACATCATACGGAACCCTCTACAAGCAGCCTTCCTCCAATTTTCCCCAGAGTGAAGCAATGAGGTATGGGTGATACCTAGATCAACCTGCTGAATGACGACAGGGAGTTCACTTCCACCAACTACCTAGCGCGTGGAGGGACCAGCACCTCCAATGCGGAGGACAGAAAATTTTGCCTGATTTATGGGCATCAACCATAAGTTTGACCAATCCCAGAGCCTATCCAAAGCACTCTGAAGTGCCTCAGAGCCACCAGGGATATCCACAATATTCCAGAGCTTGAGGTCATCAGCAAACAATAGCGACGGTACTCCAAGCTCCTGGGGTAGGTCATTGACATAAATTGCGAAAAGCAACGGCCCTAGAACCGAGCCCTGCGGAACGCCACTAAGAACAGCTTGTCTAAGCGAATGGCTACGCCCCACGCGTACACACTGTTCTCTGCCCTCTAGGAAAGCAAAAACCCATTTAAGGGCGGCTCCAGATATCCCATACGATCTCAACTTTAGTAATAGTTGTTGATGTGGGACAGTATCAAAGGCTTTCGAGAAGTCAAGGAAAAGCAGGTCGATGGCGTGACCGTTGTCTACTGCCTCATCCCAGCTTTCACGAGCTACAAGCAAATTTGTCAGACATGAAAATCCCTTACGGAATCCGTGCTGGGCCGCACTGAGAAGGTTAAACTTTATCAGGTGATTCTCCACCGAATCCCTGACCAATTTTTCAAACAACGTGACTACTACACTTGTTAAGCTGACAGGCCGATAGTTCGCGGGCAGAACTCTGTCCCCGCCCTTAAAAGTCGGACAGATGATTGCCTTCTTCAACATTCTCAGCCCACTTCTACATGGTTTCCTCAAAGGAGATTCCCGGTTGACCAATCTACTTGTCGCTCGATCTGGACGGAGTCTGTTGACCAGGGTCAAGCGGCTACCATCTCCTTGGCGGCAGATGGAAATGTTGTATGCGCTCTCAGTTTGTGGTGTTATGGCATATCACGAAGCGTTTGGTTGCCGACCAACACTTTGTCTTTTTCTGTTTTAGAGCAGCTGGCACACAAATTCCGAAGCGACCATTTAAGGCAACAGAAGGCTGAGGATTGCATGGACAACTAGTGTTGTTTGACCCACCCCTTCTTCCCTCGGTTTCCCCTGACGTGACCTTGACTGTAACCTGACCACTCGTCTTGCTCCCGCAGGCAACTGATCCCCGTTCTTCTTGTGTGTGAGGACGTGTGTTCCCTCTATTTCTGTTGCTGTTGTTTCCTTCGTAATTGTTCCTTCTTCCCACTAACATTGTGGAATAAAACCTGCTGGTTATTGGTTCTCATTTGCTTGTGAACTCACACCTCCGCTTTGATGTCTATTACAGAATTGCTTTTAATGGACAGTTTCGGAAAAGTGTATACTGGAGCGTCGCACGAAAATATTGTCTTTTGTCAGACTTCACTTGAGTTGAGTAATGTTAAATCACCATTTCCCCAGATTACGTTGTACCCGTTCTCTGGTACTTACCTAAGGTCGTCCATCTTTTTTCGAATTAACCTCCGGCCATTTTTCTTGTACTAGGGTATTTCGTAATCTTTTTCCCACCTTGTTCTAACCTGTACCTTTTCCTGCTGCCCGCCCTGAATGTAACAGCTTGTTGGTTTTACGTTTTGAGTCTTGTGTCAAACTGTCGTTGAAAGCGTCATGTTGGGCCCACTGGATACCCGCGCTAATGCGACTTCCGTTGTGTTGATCAGCGAAGCAACTGCTGTATGCAGCAGGCAGTGCTGCACAAATCCGGTGACGGACGAGTCTGTGGGCATGCAGTGCTATGTTTACAACTACTGGCACCGTGTAGTCTGTACCAACTTGAGCTCCGACCAGTAGGCAGGGCTCTCGACTATTGAGAGCATGCTGTTCATTTGTTTTGTATGTCGTAGCTGTCGGTCTACGCATCTTGATGCCACAGAGGGAGTAGAGAGTAAAGTAGTACCGGGTAACCAGTAGATGTCTTCCTTAATCGCATCGTTTGACCGTAATATGGAATTACGGATGAAGAAAATGGGAATCTTTGTAGTTGTCGGCTCATTGGAGAAAGGCACATAACCAGCTTCAACTGATGTCGAAGAGAATCAGCCTGAGTTGACGGCTACGGTGGGGTGTGCTCCACCTACCCAGAATGTCCCTAGTGAGGCCTTTGATATGCTATTGAAAGCCGTACAAGGCGAGATCGTTCTTAAAGCCCCTGTGCCCGTTAAGGGCAATAGAAAGACGGCTAAGAGAGTCCGTAAGCCCCCAAAAGCTTGAAGTGATTGAATCTATGATGGTATTGGAAGTAGATCACAATGATCTAACCTCAATCAATATAATATTTTTGGGGCAGAAACGCGCCGTGTCATCTGCTGCCAAACCCACCAAGCCTGCACAGATTATGCTCATGAGAGAATTGCCGTGTCGCCCGTCAAACAGGTTGAAACCGGAGTTGAGTCAAAGGCTCGTAGAGTGAACATGTGTTGCCGTGGTGACGTTTTTACTGATTCCATCATGGTCTTCCGTAATTTTGAGGTATCTGCGGCAGCACTTCCCAGGGAACGTATGCTGAATCACCACCAGTGGTGCAATCTCTACGTCCTCAAGTTGCCTTCACCTGGTTTCGCTAATGTCACAAACAGAAAGCTACCCAGACTGAGGAACATCCCTGTCGGTACCCTAAATCCGCAACCCCGATTACTTCGTGTAGTGCTCTCAACCCCGGACGAATGCAAAGTGTTACCGCACTTTGCATTAAACCTCGAGGGTAGTAATGTCAGCGTTCACCCAGAGCTTCCACTGGCAGATCCACTGAAGGTAAAGGAAGCCATCAAAAGCCTCGAGACCAGGCGGACGGCTGGTGAGCCAGGCCACCATCTTGTGGGTTTTCTGGTAGGCAGCCAGAGGAGAAGTTCTGCCGTTCCAGAACCCTTCCTGGCAGCGTACGCCCATGGGCTGGTCGTGCCAAATTCCTTTGTGCAGTGCTTAGCTAGGTGCGCAGCCTAGGGAACAAGGAATATAGGGTGTGTCGATTGGTAGACAAATATTGTCCTGAGATATTTGCTTTCACTAACACGTGGCTGTCCCGGATATCAGGGACAGCTGTAAGTCTACCTTGCCAGGCGCTTTTTTGATGTACTCTCTCCGTTGGCCGCCAAGGTGAGGGCGTCCCTTATTATGTTGGCTGCAAACTGTATGTGTTGGGGACCTGTGTCTTCCAGCCGCCGAAGCAAAATGGTGAAGCCCTGTCGACTATTGTGTGCCCTCCCTCTACCCCCTTTACAGTCGTAGTAGTATTTCCAAGTCCTAGAAGTATCCCCAGGGAGGTTGCTGAGTTTGTTCATATTCAGGCTGTATGGAGGTGTCTACTACTTTGGGGATTTCAACAGCATTGAGGTCTGTTGTGTTGCTTTAGCTTGCAGTTCGGCGGTGTCACCTTCGGTTCATATCTCCTAGCTCTAATGCTGGAACTGCCCTTGCATCATTTCGTGGACCTCATGACTAGATACATGCGCAACCAGCCTCCGCCTACCTTGGATCTCAATTATGCGAAGTAGCACAATTTCATAACTGACGTTACAAATGGCCATCCTCTAGGAGCCAGTGGCCATGTCTGCAAATCCTTTTGATGGGCTCTCACTAAGCACCATAAGTCTCCCGCTGCGGTCTGTCCACATATTTATCGAGCAGATGTTACAGCAATGCGAGAAGAAGCTTCACATCACCATGGTTGGCACCGTTGAGACAGCCTGGGAGAAATTTGTGGCAAGTCTCACCGAGATCTCTGTACCTCACATCCCACACATTTACAAAGAAAGACACAGGCGCAACCTCAGTGGATAGATTATATAGGTAAATACCTTCTCAAGAAGCGCTCTACCTGTTGGCGAACTTACCAAATGGCTTCATCAACCAGCATTACGAGAGCTATCCAGCGGTTCTAAGTAAATGATAGCAGCACCTTAAGACTGCCCGGCTTC